ACTAACCAAGATTTTTGTGTTAACTTTGTTAACCAATCTTGGCCATTGATTCTTACAATAAAGGTTGTGATTAATCATGATAAAAAAAATTAAATTTTTAAATTTACAATTTCAAAGAACATATGTGAACAAAGAAGAAAAGGGTATTTAGGTAATTTTCTTTTTTATGTAACTCTCGTATCATTAATTGGAAGTTACAAAATCAAAAAAATCTTATTATTTTATTAATTTATTTTTGTTAATGTAAAAACTATATGAACACACACACATATATATATATATATATATATATATGAACCATTGTGTCAAATACGAACAAAAGTTGACATATATATGAACTTGAACTATATAACATTTATGAACACAATATGAATATAATAAGAATAGTTGTTACACGAAAGTAAAAAAAAATATGAACACAATATGAACAATTTGTGAACAATATTTCCTTCATTATGAACATATTCAGGAGCAAGCCAATGTTGAGATATACAGCTAGTGTACATATGAACACAATATGAACAGTTTGTGAACAATAATTCCTTTATTATGAACACATTCAGGAGCAAGCCAATGTTGAGATATACAGCTAGTGTACATATGAACACAATATGAACAGTTTGTGAACAATAGTTCATTCATTATGAACACATTCGGGAGCAAGCCAATGTTGATATATGCAGCTAGTGTACATATGAACACAATATGAACACTTGTGAACAATTTAGTTAACAATTACAAATGAATTCGAATTCCGATTGTAGTCGTAGACGATTTTAATATTTTCATTCTCATTGTTGTCGATCTGTTTTCTAATAGGTATATCCATATTACTTGGACGATATCGAAATCTTTACAATCGAAAATTCTTTAACAATTACAAAATCAATGCCATTATAGATAGAATAAATCGAAATTACAAAACATGAACACGTATAAAAAAATATCAATATTACATAATTATCAATTATTGAGATTTTTATATTTGTAACTCCCAATTAATGATTTGGGAGTTACATAAATGACAAATTACTTAATTACTCTTGTAATTAATATATGAGTTATATGTGAACCTAAAGAAAAGATGGAATATGATTGGTTGAGCTTGGTTAATAAAGTTAACACAAAAATCTTGGTTAATATTTGAACCAACCTCTATATTTATATATATCTTAAAAATAACTATTAAGAAAAAGTAACATTTTTAAAAAATATATTAAAAGAGAAAAAAAAAAATATATATATATATATATATATATATATATATTAAGAAAAGGGGAGTGCTAATGGCACCCCCTTTGATGTCAGAATCAGGTCATTCAAGCATTGAGAATGTAAAAAACATGTATTGATGTTGATGTGTGTGAGGAAGAAATTCATGAATAGGGGTGCATTAAACAATGCATAGGGGTGCATTTAGCCCACCCCAAGTAATGTTTTAAAAAAAAATATATTAAAAGAGAAAAGAAAATATATAATATTTATTTATAAAAAACAATATTTTTTAATATTAATATTTTTATATATTAAAAAAATAATATTTATAATAGTATATATATTTATAATAAGATAATTAGAAAAATTAGTATAAAAAGGAAAAAGACAAAAAAATAACAAAAAGAGAAATGATTAGGGTAGCTATGGTGGTGCCATTAATATAAGATATGAGTGCTATTAGCCTTCCCCTTATTCATTACTCATATCTAGCTTTTTAAATCCTACCCTACCTATATAATTTATTGTTTTTCACTCGCCACAAAAATCCGTGTACATCTCACCTCTGACCACACCTCTTGATGGGATAAACTGAGGTATACTGAACTTGTTTGGTTCAGTTTACTATTTGCTGAATATAGCGTGTTGTTTTTCCATCTTTTGTAGGTTCAGTTCTTGAGAAGCGAGGTTTTCTTGGCTATTACCAAGGATTGTCACGAAAACAGTCGTTCTACTCTGAGGCAAAGGTCAAGTTTGCGGTACATCTTACCTCCCAAACTCATCACTGGATGGGATATGTTGGGCTCGTTTGGTTATACTTGATTCATCTAGCTTCTTGTTCAATGGCACCAAGTAACAAAGCTATAACCGTTACTTGCATCTGGATGCTTATATGTATCGCTATTAGTAATGCTGTCGAAAGTGACATCAATTGCCTTAGATCATTTAAAGATTCAGTTCAAGATCCAGAAAACGCCTTATCTACATGGGAGTTCAATAACCGCACCGAAGGATTCATCTGTAGGTTTACTGGCGTTGACTGTTGGCATCCCGATGAGAGTAAGGTTTTAAATATCCGCCTTCAGGATATGGGACTCAAGGGTACATTTCCTCTCGGACTTCTTAATTGTACCTCGATGACAGGATTAGATCTTTCTAGCAACCACTTATCTGGAACGCTCCCAGCCAACATATCCGATATTATATCGTTAGTGACAACTCTTGATCTATCGTCAAACAATTTCTTCGGACCGATTCCTATGATGCTTTCTAATTGTACTTACCTTAATTCCCTAATTCTAGATAACAACCACTTTTCGGGCCAGATTTCTCTAGAATTAGGTCAGCTCACCCGTCTTAAGGAGTTTCGTGTTGCTAACAATCTCTTCTCTGGGCCGATTCCCACTTTTAGAAATGCTACTATCGAACTCAACTATGGAGGTAATCTGGGGTTATGTGGCGGTTCTTTGGGGGCTTGTTCAGAAAGCAAGAAAAACCGTATGGGTGTCATTGTTGTGGTAGCTATTATCGGTGGTACGACTCTTGCGACATTTCTTGTAAGTCTGGGAATGATGATCTTTATGACTAAAGTTGTCCGAAAGCGGAAAGTTGATGATCCTGATGGAAATAAATGTGCCAAGAGTATTAAAGGAGCTGAAACCATCAAGGCAAGATGATTTAATCTCTTCTATCTCCATTTTATATGACAAAACAAGTTTTTCATAACGCTTTTGAACAACATAACAAGTTTTTTCCGATAATTTTCAAATAAATCGTTCTTTTATTCTTTTGATATAACATTGGAAAAATGTCTTATGAAAACTAGTGTTCACATAAAAGTGTCCGGTAAAAAAACTAATAGAACACTTTATTTCAAAAGTTTCCTAAAAGAACTTGTTAAGATGTCCAAATACGTCATGACATCCTGTTGTAACACCATTATATGAGACACATAGTTGTTTGGTCTTATAAACTTAAATCCTATGAAGAAGTCTATTAGAACATTTAAACATTTCTGACATGTTATAAATTCGAGTTCGTTGCAGTGATTTTATCAAGAAATTTACTCGCATTCCATGTTTGGTGCATCAATTTGACAACTTTTGATGTTCTTGCAGCTTTCTATGTTCGAAAATCCTGTTTCTAATATGCGATTGAGCGATCTGATGAAGGCGACCAACAGCTTTAGCAAAGAGAACATCATCGGATCGGGAAGAACCGGGTGTTTATACAAAGCTGTTCTCGAAGATGGCAGTTCGCTTATGATCAAACGATTGCAAGACTCTAAGCATTCGGAGAAAGGGTTCCAATCGGAAATGGCGATGCTCGGGAAAGTGAAGCACCGAAATTTGGTTCCTCTTTTTGGGTTTTGTGTGGCGAAAAGGGAACGACTTTTAGTTTACAAGTACATGGCAAACGGTAATCTCCACGACAAACTTCTTCCCGTTGGCGATGATGAGAAACGCCTGGATTGGCCTTCGCGGCTAAAAATCGGAATCGGTGCAGCCAAAGGGTTCGCGTGGGTCCATCATAACTGCAACCCTCATATGCTTCATCGAAACATTAGTTCAAAATGCATCTTCCTTGATGCTGACTTCGAGCCAAGGATATCGGACATCGGGCTCGCTCGGCTCATGAATCCGGTTGATACCCATTTCAACAATTTTGTTAATGGCGAGTTTGGTGATTTGGGATACGTGGCTCCTGAATACGTGAGGACGCTCGTGGCGACACCAAAAGGCGACGTTTATAGCTTCGGGGTGGTGCTTCTGGAGTTGGTAACGGGTGAAAGGCCGACCCATGTGGCTAAAGCTCCGGAAACATTCAAGGGGAATTTAGCCGAGTGGGTGACTGAACTAGCAGCGGAATCGAGACTTCGTGATTCGATCGACGAGTCGCTGGCAGTCGAGAAGGATTACGAGAACGAGATGTTCCAGCTTCTTAAAGTGGCGAGTCGGTGTGTGGTGCCTGCTCATAAGGAGCGGCCGTCGATGTTTGAGGTGTACCAGCTGCTACGAGCCATCGGTGAGCATTACCATTTCACGATGGATGATGAGGTGTTGATGATGCCGTCGGACGATGGTGGTGATGCTGGTCAAATAGAACTCATCGTTGCTCGTGATGGAAAGAAGTAACCTTGAGAACCAACTCGAACCTATATGTCATCAGTTCAAGTTGTTAACGTATATATTTTAGATCAGATAAAATTATACATTAAAAATATAAAAAATAATGTTGGTCATGATATATATATATATATATATATAGGAGCGATCAAATGAAAACCGTCCCTATTTTTGTAAACCAATCTCATCCATCCATTTTCTTAATCAATGATCATGATTAGTTTAGTTTATTTTAGAAAATTAAAAAATATATATATTAAAAAATTTATTTTATAACAATTTGAAGAACAAAATGGTAAACCTAACAACTTCTTCTCCAACCTCCTAACATAAAATAGATCCATCATTAATGAAACAAATTTATTTGTAAAATAATATATTATTTTTTATGTTCACATATTGTAAAAAAAATAACATCCATCATTAAAATAGATCAAAAATAAAAATTAAGAAAAATACAATCAATTGTACATAATGAACCATTTTTCAAAAAAATTAAAAAAAAATAGCAATACATTAATGAGCGATGGTTTCACAGTTTTATCAATACACTAATCAACGTAATCTTGTTGAGACATTTGCCATTTTCAGTTTTATCAATACACTAATAAACGTAATCATATGAAATGGTTTCACAGTTTCATCAATACACTAATCAACGTAATCTTGATCAGATTTTGTCATTTTCATGTTATTGGTAGATGRATCCGTTTCATTTTGATAATGAAATTGTTTCATTGTTCACTAATTACACAAAATTTTCTTAGAACCCATGAAATAGTTTCACTTTCTTCAATCATCCATTTCATCGGCCAGCATGGTTTGATGCATCATTTGTCATTTCACGCTATTGATGATGAAATTGCTTCACTTTTCGCTAATTACACGGGCTTTTTCTTATCATTTGTCATCATGCACCCATTTCATGATGTACCTATTTCATCATGCACCAATTTCATGATCATTTTCACTTACTCCATATACTAATTTCACCATGTATGAAACCGGTTTCATCATGCACCCATTTCATAATCATTTTCACTTATTCCATGCACCAATTTCACCATTTATGAAACCGGTTTCATGAATATATTTTTTATTCTATTACTGATTTTATGGATTTATTAATCTAATAACTTACGATTTTCATGAATCTTGTTAATAATAAACCGAGACACAACATAACAAAATCCAATTTTTAATATTATAATTTAATTAAATATTTAAATGGTACCATTTATAAAATTTTCTTTATTATGTTACCTTAATTAAGATTTATTAATAACTTCTATATTTAATAAAAAACAATGCAAACGACCAATATACCTTAATCATTAAATTTAATTAGAAAAAAATAGAATTTTTCTATTGGTTCGAAATTAGTTTACACAGTTTCTAAGAATTACACGGTTTTTATTTGAACGTGCCTCCACACACACACACACACACACACACACACACACACACACAYATATATATATATATATATATATATATATATAGGAGCGATCAAATGAAAACCAGTCCAATTTGTAAAAACCGTAAAAACTACTCTCATTCGTCGATTTCATTGTTTAATCTTATGAAATTTTTTCATGAAATTGTTTCATATAATACTTTTTTTGATGAAGTTGTTTCATATATGGTTATGAAATTGTTTCATATACTACTTAATGAAACTGTTTCATGTATTTCTCTAAAATTAATGAAACTGTTTCATGTATTTCTCTAAAATTAAAATAATGAAGATGATAATATCCATGATTAACATCATCTACAATAAAAATGATTAATCAACCTCTCATAATTACAAAAAAATGAACAAAATGAAAAATTATGATTAATTGAATGAAGTTTGTACGGTTTGTACAAATTAAGTGGTTTTTATTTGAACGCACCCATATATATATATATATATATAAAAGGTGTGTTTTTAGCAAATAATATGTGTGCATTTAGACCAGATATTAACTTTGACACCAAATCATTTCGGTAGGTATACAAAATTTGTTGTAATGAATAATAACAAATCAAATTTGATGTAATATTATTCATTTACATTAAAAACCGATAAAAATAAATATATTTATAAATTTTGTATTTTATTGTAATAAATTTATTACTTGCATAGAATTGTATGTTAATTTTAATGAACTTAATATGAGAGTGATTTCATGAAAGATGGCCTACCGTTTTTAGTCTTTGCAGACTTCAATGCAGTGGTGACTTGAAGCTCCTTCGGAGATACCTCATCTTTGACCAGATTAGCAATGATTTTTCTCTTGTACCCATATAAAAACATTAGTGGGGTCTACCTTAACCATTCAGTCGTCTTAATTTCATGTTGAAAAATTGTCAAATAATTATATTTTATTTTGCATTATATCATAAAAGTTTCTTAATCATTTTGTACTAAATCATTCAGCAGTTGCCAAACAGTTGTAAACGCTTATCGAGTAAATGATGTTTACCAGCAATCAAGTTTGATGACCGAGAATGTTATCTACAAGGTAAGTGACGTTGATGGATCTTATCGGTAAGCGTTTTGATAAACGACCTCTTAATTAACCTTGACGACCTCAACTGCTTTGGCAATGGAATCAAGATCGCATATCATTAGAACCGTGGTTTCTTGGTTGCTACCTTAAGTTTTGCATCTGCCATACTTAAATCTTTGAGCTTTGTGCTCAATGGCACTGAGAAATTAATTAGGGTTTTCAGGTAGATCCCTCAAAACCTTGTGAATTGTTACTATCCTAATGTCCTTAAACCTGATTACAAGTGGTTTTCAGGTCTAATTCCTCAACAACTGGATGGTCTTTAATGTATTTCGGTCCTCAGCAGTTAGAACATCTTTTATCGATCAATAAAGCCTCCAAAATATCGTGTTTTAAAGGCTTAAAACTCCTACAGTCCAATCCACCAGTAAAAGCTCCTACAAATGGGTGTCATCAAAGGTGCATCACCAACATAGGGTACCAAAACCTTGAGGGTGACTCAACATATAAGATTTTGGGTTTTGCTTTTCAGATATCACTGGTTCAAGTATATATAATTGTAAGGCCACCAGACATGTTTTATCTAACCGTTTACTTCAGGGCCTCATAAGATCAGCCAGGATTAGGTTGGAGCCTTCGTCTTTTCAAGCTTAATCGAGATTTTTAGACTTTTTCAGGTCAAATTTTTTTGAATCACAACGTAGGTCAGGCCCGAGCCCACCTCAAAAATTTCAGTCTGGTTGGACTTTGTGGCCTAACCGAACTAAACCTGAGCTTTTTCACGCTTAACCTGAACTTGTTCATCTGGAATTTTTTCTTAATAGACTAGAAAATTATTTGCGCAATCCAACGAGATATATTTCGATTTCAATGTTTCATTTTATTTTTTTGTTCTCCGCGATGTTATAATACGAATTTATATGGTTTTGAGCAAACAATAATTTTTTTTCCTAATAAAATATAAATTTGAAAATATATTAAAAATTAAAAAACTAAGAAACTCAATAATTATTCTAATTAAATTTTTAATATATCTAATATAAAATTTTATCTTGTATTTGATTATATTGATTTATAGTTAATTACATAAATTTTAATATGAAACATGTATAATTTATTTGTAATTTTGAATTTTAATTAATATATATCAATAAACAAAACTTTATATATAAAAAATGATTTTTAATAATAATAATTGTCGAGTGAAGAAAGAAAGAGAGAGGTGCGTGTGAAATGGGCGGCCAATAAAAATATCAACAGGGTCTTTCTTCCAAACCTCCAAAATTCCACAAAACAAACCATAAAAGTCATCACTTCACACGCCTTTCGCTTTACTCAGTCAAGAATTCCAAGTCAATCACACCATTATAAGTCGTTGAAGCTCTCTTACCTTCAATTTTCCATGGAAATCGCTTCTTCTTTCACCAGTTTCTCTCATACTCGTTAAACTTTCTCTTCAACAGCTTTTGCGCCAGTTTCCTCTTCAAGGAGATCGTCGATCCCCCAACTGTATGTTCTTCATCTCCTTAATTCTAATTTCTTGTAGTGTAACTTGAAGTTTATGCAAATTTCTTTGTTGTGGTGATGAAATTCTACGTGGATTTTGATTTTCGGAGCAGACGACGCTTGATTCTCTTCTGTGGTTGTCGAATTGTATGGAAAACTTCTGATTCTATCTCACGAAATCTTCAATTAGGGTTTTTCTATTTTTGAACTGAACATATCGAATTCGAATTTGAACATTAATCTAATATTAGACGATTGATGAATATTGTGTGATTCAGATATGCACTTTGATTGGGTTGTTTTAGTCCGATGTGTTAACATAACGATTGATCATGGTTAGGCAATTTTTACTGATGATAAAGTTTATTATTTTCTCCATGAATTCCTCAGTAGAATATGCATCAAAAGCATATTAATGAGCTCCTATTATATGAATATTGCTTGACAAATTAGAAGTACAGCAACTGTTGTCTGTTATAGTTTCTTTCTGGGTTATGAAGTGAGTTAGTTAACTGAGTTAGCTCCATAGGACATATTGTCTTTTCTATCTTTCTATTTGTATCGTTATTTGTTACTCGTATCTAGCTTTTCAAATCCTACCCTACCTGTATAATTTATTGCTTTTCACCACAAAAACCCGTGTACATCTCACCCCTGACCACACCTCTTGATGGGATAAACAGAGGTATACTGAAATTGTTCGGTTCGGTTTACTGTTTGCTGAATATAGCGTGTTTGTTTTTCGATCTTTTGTAGGTTCGGTTCTTGAGAAGCGAGGTTTTCTTGGCTATTACCAAGGATCGTCACGGAAACAGTCGTTCTACTCTGAGGCAGAGGTCAAGTCTGCGGTACATCGTTACCTCCCAAACTCGTCTCTGAGTGGGATATGCTGGGCTTGTTTGGCTATACTTGATTCATCTAGCTTCTTGTTCAATGGCACCAAGTAACAAAGCTATAATCGTTACTTGCATCTGGATGCTTATATGTATCGCTATTAGTAATGCTGTCGAAAGTGACATCAATTGCCTTAGATCATTTATACATTCAGTTCAAGATCCAGAAAACGTCTTATCTACATGGGATTTCACTAACCGCACCGAAGGATTCATCTGTAGGTTTACTGGCGTTGACTGTTGGCATCCCGATGAGAGTAAGGTTTTAAATATCCGCCTTCCGGATATGGGACTCAAGGGTACGTTTCCTCTCGGACTTCAAAATTGTACCTCGATGACAGGATTAGATCTTTCTAGCAACCACTTATCTGGAACACTCCCAGCCAACATATCCCGGATTATACCGTTAGTGACAACTCTTGATCTATCGTCAAACAATTTCTCCGGACCGATTCCTATGATGCTTTCTAATTGTACTTACCTTAATTCCCTAATTCTAGATAACAACCACTTTTCGGGCCAGATTCCTCTAGAATTAGGTCAGCTCACCCGTCTTAAGGAGTTTCGTGTTGCTAACAATCTCTTATCTGGGCCGGTTCCCACTTTTAGAAATGGTACTATCCAACAGAGCTATGGAGGTAATACGGGGTTATGTGGCGGTCCTTTGCGGGATTGTTCAGGAAGCAAGAAAAACCGTATGGGTGTCATTGTTGGGGCGGCTATTGGTGGTGCGACTCTAGCTGCATTACTTGTAGGTCTGGGAATGACGATCTTTATGCGGAAAGTTGTCCGAAAGCGGAAAGTTGATGATCCTGATGGAAATAAATGGGCCAAGAGTATTAAAGGAGCTAAAACCATCAAGGCAAGATGATTTAATCTCTTCTATCTCCATTTGATACGACAACAAGTTTTTTAGGACGCTTTTGGACAGCATAACAAGTTTTTTCCGACAATTTTCAAATAAATCGTCTTATTATTGTTTTTATATTACAAAAATGTCTAATGAAAACTAGTGTTCATAGGACACTTTTCAAAAGTGTTCGATAAAAAAACTAACACTTTATTTCAAAAGTTTCCTAAAAGAACTTGTTAAGATGTCCAAATAAGTCATAACATCCTGTTGTAATTGTAACACCATTATATGAGACACACGATTGTTTGGCCTTGTAAATTTAAATCCTATAAAGAAGTCTATTAGGACATTTAAACATTTCTGATATGTTATAAATCCTAGTTCGTTGTAGTGATTTTAGCAAGAAATTTACTCACATTCCATGTTTGGTGCATCAATTTGACAACTTTTGATGTTCTTGCAGCTTTCCATGTTCGAAAATCCTGTTTCTAAGATGCGATTGAGCGATCTGATGAAGGCGACCAACAGCTTTAGCAAAGAGAACATCATTGGATCGGGAAGAACCGGGTGTTTATACAAAGCGGTTCTCGAAGATGGCAGTTCGCTTATGATCAAACGATTGCAAGACTCTAAGCATTCCGAGAAAGAGTTCCAATCGGAAATGGCGACGCTCGGGAAAGTGAAGCACCGGAATTTGGTTCCGCTTTTAGGGTTTTGTGTGGCGAAAAGGGAACGACTTTTAGTTTACAAGTACATGGCAAATGGTAATCTCCACGACAAACTTCATCCCGTTGGCGATGATGAGAAACGCCTGGATTGGCCTTCGCGGCTAAAAATCGGAATCGGTGCAGCCAAAGGATTCGCGTGGCTCCATCATAACTGCAACCCTCGGATCCTTCATCGAAACATTAGTTCAAAATGCATCTTACTTGATGCTGACTTCGAGCCAAGGATATCGGACTTCGGGCTCGCTCGGCTCATGAATCCGGTTGATACCCATTTGAGCACTTTTGTTAATGGCGAGTTTGGTGATTTGGGATACGTGGCCCCTGAATACGCGAGCACGCTCGTGGCAACACCAAAAGGCGACGTTTATAGCTTTGGGGTGGTGCTTCTGGAGTTGGTAACGGGCGAAAGGCCGACCCATGTGGCTAAAGCTCCGGAAACATTCAAGGGGAGTTTAGCCGAGTGGGTGACTGAACTAGCAGCGGAATCGAGACTTCGAGATTCGATCGACGAGTCGCTGGCAGTCGAGAAGGATTACGAGAACGAGGTGTTCCAGTTTCTTAAAGTGGCGAGTCGGTGTGTGGTGCCTGCTCATAAGGAGCGGCCGTCGATGTTTGAAGTGTACCAGCTGCTACGAGCCATCGGTGAGCATTACCATTTCACGACGGATGATGAGGTGTTGATGATGCCGTCGGACAATGGTGGTGATGCCGGTCAAATAGAACTCATCGTTGCTCGTGATGTAAAGAAGTAACCTTGAGAACCAACTCGAAACCTATAGGTTGTCAGTTCAAGTCTAGGGATCATCGGAGATTTTTTCTGTATGTTATCTTCAGCCTCCCATAAAATTAGTTGAAGTGCATCCAAGCTGGTTCGTACAACCACCGAATAAAAAAGTATTGGAGAAGGTATGATTTATATGTTGGTGTTATGAACAAGTATTATATGTATATCTATATCTATATCTATATCTATATCTATATGTATATGAAATTGCTTTATGAGTGGAAGACTTTTTATAAGGTAAGGGATTCTTTACCACTCAAAATTGAGTAAACGTTTAACAGGTAATTGTGCGGTCTGCAAAGCAGGTGGTCGTCCTGTGATTAGTCGGCTCGCATAGCGGGTTGGATATCCAGGTTAATAAAAAAAATTATAAAAGCAACCTTTGTCAAAACCTATGTCCTCGAAATTATAACCCAAAGATTGCATCATAGAAATCAAATGTATACATCCAAAGCGTTGGCGGAATTCACCATGATCACAAAACTACAATTTCATATCCATTTGCGACAAGTTTCAACCATTCGAACAACGCTTGCACAACTCTCAAAATACGTAACACGAAGATGAGTTTAGCCCCGAAACAACCTCACATTCTGGTCGTCTCGTACCCCGCTCAAGGCCACATCAACCCGATGCTCCAATTCTGCAAACGACTCGTTGCGAAAGGCGTCAAGACGACATTCGCAACGACTTTGTCCATCTCCAAAATCTTGCATATCGATATTAACTCCTCCATCACCTTCGAAACGTTCTCCGATGGGTTCGACGACAATGGACCCGATCAATTCGTGAGCCCAGACGAACACTTCCCAAAGCTTCGGAAAGTAGGGTCGGAGTCCTTGTCGGATCTCGTTCAAAAACTAGACGGTCTTGACGCGATTGTTTACGACGGGTTTTTGCCGTGGGCCCTTGACGTAGCCAAGCGATTCGGGATCGTTGGAGCGGTGTTTTTTACGCAAACTTGTGCCGTAAATAATATTTACTACCATGTGAACAGAAACCTTCTCAAAATCCCATTGCAGAATTCAGTAGTTAAAGTTCCTGGATTACCACAACTTGAGGATTGGGAAACACCTTCATTTGTGCACAAATTTGACCAATTTCCAGTTGTTTCTGATCTAGTTTTTGATCAATTTACCAACATCGATCAAGCAGATTGGGTGTTTTTCAACTCATTTTACAAATTGGAGGAAGAGGTTTGCATTTCTTTTACTAATTACTTATTGTTTATTAGTCTCTTATGTCTGATTAGTTAAGAGGTAGAGTCATTCAGATTGTTTGTTTTTTCTAAGTTTCCGAAGGCACTTATGTCTTGTTCATCTCTTATTTGATAAGAGGTAAACCAATCTCTTATTTGCCTCTTATCGGTCTTCAAACTCTTAGCAACGACGTTTCTCAATCTACTAAACTTAATCGATTATTTCTCTCAGTCGATCCTTACCAAATTGATCCTCACCTGTCTCAGTTGATGTATTTTAATAGAATCTAAATGTGTTAAATACTATTAATAACATATTTTTGTTTAAATGGTGCTAATTATATAATTTAAATGTAAATTCTATAATGATGATGAATAAATATGTGAAATTGTATAAATTTATCTATAAATTTAACACTATAATTTTCTAATGGGTAAAATAGACAATTTAAACAAATTCAGACATTTATCAGATTACAAAAAACAAATAATCTTATTGATTCAGATTTCAAATTTCAGCACCACCTCTTATTAGTCAGAAGTGAAATAAGACTTCAGACTTCTGCACCTCTTAACGAACAAACGTCACCTAAGTGTTTGTAAATTTTGTTGTATTTTGATGCATTTCGTCCTTTGATAATAAAACTCATGTTTTTCTTTGATCGTATTCATTTAGGCGGTCGATTGGATGGGGAAGTTATGGCGTGTGAGGACGATAGGTCCGACGCTTCCCTCGATGCACCTTGACAAGCGATTGTTAGACGATCACGACTATGGAGTCAATCTCTTCAAACCAAAATGTATCGAATCCATGAACTGGCTAAACGATAAGCCAAAAAGATCGGTTGTTTACTTGTCGTTTGGGAGCGTGACACAACCCGGACCCGAGCAAATGAAGGAAATAACATGTGGTTTGATTGATGGAGGTTTCAACTTCTTGTGGGTGGTTAAGTCGTCGGAAGAGGACAAGCTCCCGAACGAGTTTCTCGATGGTCGATCCAAGAAGGGTTTAGTCGTGACATGGTGCCCGCAACTGCAAGTCTTGGCTCACGAGTCGATAGGGTGCTTTGTTACACATTGTGGGTTTAACTCGGTTCTTGAAGCAATTAGTTTCGGAGTACCAATGGTCGCAATGCCTCAGTGGTCAGATCAAACCACGAACGCGAAATACGTGGAGGATGTTTGGGGTGTTGGGGTTCGGGCTAAGCCCGACGATAATGGGATCGTGAGTAGACAAGTGTTGGATTCGTGCATACGAAAAGTCATGGAAGGAGAGAAGGGGAAAGAGATCCATAAAAACGTGATCAAATGGAGCGATTTGGGAAAAGAAGCGGTCAGGGAAGATGGAAGTTCAGACAAAAACATCAATGAATTTGTAGCAGAATTGAAGTTACGATTTTGATTATCGTTGAACGAATCGCTTGATTTTTGCTTGTAGTTTCGGTATCTTGTAAGACAAAATGCCACAGCAAATTCACATGGGCATTCCATCAAACACCTTGAGAGCATGCTGCTTCTTACAGATTATTATGACCAGTCGTGTACCATATAATGCAACGAGATATAAATTTGGCTTCTTAATGTTCCTGGAAGCCTATGATCGGGCCCGTAGAGGTTGTTGCACTTAAACGAGCATAACTTTTGCTACAGGTCTCCATTTCAAATCCACCATACGTCTAATCGAAGTTAAGAACTACGACCACCCTCTACGTATGACGTTAGAGACATTGATAGCCTATTAAAGTTGATGGGTTTCAAGTCCAATAGACGATCTTTGCAAATTGCTTACAGGAAAAAAAGATTACGACCCCAATATGGTCGTGTGCATTCTTGTTTGCTTTCTGACTGCAATATTTCGTCACACGGGATTTTCAAGCCTAAAACACGACGTTTTAGCATGTTTCGAGTTATTGTTACGCTTTTTTTTGTCGATTTTCTTGTTTTTTTTGTTTGGGCTTATGTAGGCCCATCACGTTTTCAAGCCCATCATGCCCGCGCTCGCATATATCAAACTTTCAACCTCACAACCACAAGGGTGGTGTCTGATTGGTTTGAGCTTAGCTCCAAATGTCAAAAGTACTAAGATGTCTCAGGTTTAAATCCAATGAGAAATAAAAATCCCCTTGTGGTCATAGAGGTTCAAAGTGACTCCGGGCTATCTGCAAAGCAGGTGAGTTACCTTGAGATTAGTCGGCTCGCATAATGGGTTGGATATCCAGGTTAATAAAAAAAAAAAAACTTTCAACCTGACCAACCAACCTGGATTGGGATGTACTTTTATTTGGGTTACGGGTCGTGAAAGTTATCTTCACAGTGATTTCTTAATAACGGGCCAACTTAATTAGATCGTGAACGAGACCCGTAATTATAACGGTCCTAAAATAGCGAAGTTCGTTATCGGGTTAGAAAGCTTTTTTACACAATTTTCTTGTTCTTATCGAGTTCAAAATCTACCCAAAATCATCTACATATATTTGTCTCTCTCTATATATATAGATAGATATAGATACAACAAAGATTAACCTACAACAGCTACAGAGAGCAAGAGCTTTCATCATCAGAAGAACTGTACTGCCGCCTTCCATGAAATCCGTCAAAAACCGGCATCGAGTTCACCGGAAATTTGTTGCCGGAGCTCACCGTTATCCGATCGTTTATGCCGCCAACTTCTTTGCAGACCCTATCAAGAACAGTTAGGAAATCCCTCACAACCATGAAGATTCTTAATGGATGAGCTTCTTCTTTAGCTGAGTTTCCATGGAAATATTCAGTGATTTCTTTCACTAAAGAAACCGAAACCCTTTCCTGTTCTTGAAGCCTGATCACCTCCGTTTTTGCCATGTTTAAGAACTCGTCCATCGAGTCTGAGAATTTCGTACTTTTTGTTCCATCGATCAATCTAACACCTTCCGCGATATTAGTAATCCCATTCGAGAGTCTCCTGACGTCACCATTAAGAACCTCGGAGTCCATTGCTGCGGCTTTCTTGACGTTTGAAAGGTCCGAACTGAGACTAGAAATAACTTGAAGACCAGGTTTTGCGGTTTGGTTAGTGGTTAGACGGGCGCCTTCGGTTCGTATGATTTCATGAACCACAAAGTGCAAGAGTGTTGTTTTGCCATCGGCGCCCTTGATATCGATGAGTTTGAGGAGGGTGTCGAGTTTGAAGGCTTGGGCGTCACCACGGTTCGTGCCGACATTCATACGGTTTCCGGTCTTGAGGACGGCTTCTAGCAGCTTTAGGAACATCCTGTTGTTTCTAAGTTCTTCACAAGCTGCCTGTTTTACATTCAACATTTTGAAATTAACAGTAAATCATGAAAATGTAACGTAAAACGCTTACTGTTTTTATACTTTATATATATATATCAACCCCGCACCCATACGGTTTCTGTGGTTCTTAGGGTGCGGCATGCAGACGGACCAGACAAAGCAAGAGTGAAGGTAAAAAGAAGTCGAACCTTCACAATCCTATCTACGTACCAAACACGCATTTGGTGTCATTAACCTAGATTTTTCCTAACCGCTTTGTGCAGCCTTAGCATCGACACCGACTTGGTCTACATTGTTTAACGATGCCGTTTATGATTGACGGAAATAGAGCTAGAGCAACCGTAATTACCTCGAGAGTATGAAACGACTGCTTGAGGTACTCAACCTCCGAATCAAAATTTGAAACATAGAGCATTGCACCGACCCTTTTAAATGCGAAAGGCACATCAAGCAAAGCCTTGAGGAACTTCTCGGCAGGACCAAGCTTAACAGGCGAAGTATCTTTATGATCGTTTAGTTTACGCTCTTCCTCTTTCGTTGGAGCCATCTTCAACAAACTCTCGAGAACCTCGGTCCCAAGTGTAGCCGCATTTCCTGTACAATTGTTGCAATACTACAATTATTCGACTTAAACCCAACGACACCAATTCACAAACACATCATCGTTTACAGCATCATGACTTTAATCTAACGGGTCCGTTCATTTGAGAATAATAAATATTTTGTGGACCGTGAGAACCAACAATTCATGAATAATTTACTATCAATTTCATGATAAATATTCATAATGAATATTGATGAATATACAGGTGTATTCATCATATTCATATTCATCATGAGTTCCATAAAATATTTACGGTTCCAATCAGAACAAAGGAAACCACCTTCTAAAAGTGCATCACGGACGTCCTCAATTGTGACAGTAAGTGCCCTCAATGCAATTGCAATGTTCTGAGACTTCTTCGGATCAAGAACTTGGTTTTCCTGGCTTATCGGTGAGGGAAGAATCGGACGTTTAAATGTCAAGTTTTCCATTGAATTACTAGCATTTGGTGGTTTTACAACGAATAATGTCTCAATCATCTCTTCATTTAATCTGTAATCAATAACCCCCAAATCAATTTCACACCAAGAACAAACACACACACATAATGAGGAGAATATTGATAGATTTCTTACTTAAAGGAACTGGATTTGAGATGATCCCACACCATTTCACGATCGGAGCTTGCTCTTACTTTATCCCAATGAAGCGGTTTTAATTTAGGTTTTGGGGTTTTCTGGTTTGTTTCAAGATTTTCCGGCAACGTTTCTAACGGAGAAGACGGCGGCTGGTGACTGGTTACAGGTAGGGGTCTTGAAGGTTTGATCAAAACCGGTGGATTAAGCAGTGGTTGCAGTTTGGGACTTGGGATTTGTAGGTGGGTCGCCGGAGGTGGAATCGACGGCGGGATTTTCGACGGAGGAGAATTTTGGTCGTTCGATGAGTTTGATAGTCTGGGTGATGACTCTAGGCTGTTTTTGCTTAAACCAACATCCGGTGAAGGGATCATCAAAGGATGCGGCGGCAGCGGCGGTGGCGGTGGTGGTGGAGCTGGGCGAGACGGCGGAGGAGCGGTTTGAACTGCAACAAGGTCCGGCGATTTCATCCTTGAATTCCTCGGACTCAAGCTAACAGGTGGAGAAATGCTCAACGAAATGGACCTGGCCGGAGAACCCGAACTTGACGATGAGTAGGAAGAAGACGAACCCGACCCCATACTTCTACGCGGCTGATAGTTACCGGTGGCTCCGGCGGCGGCGAACGGTGGCCGTGAACCGGATCTACCTCCCTCCGATGCTTTCGGAGAGTAAAATTCCTCAAATTCTTCGTCTTTAGATTCTACCTCGGAGTTCTCGAAACCGCCATGAAGAATCGTTTGACTACGTCCTCCACAAGCACCACTTAACGGCGGTAATGGCCGGAGCTCCGGGGAACCCACTTTTTGCAAACTTGACTCCCCATCACCACGATTATCACGGCCACCGGTTGTAGTAGTAGTAGTAGTAGCATCCATTCCACCATGAGAGTTCACAAGGGTACCGAGATAAAGAAACTCCGAGCTGGTTTGCGACGGCCGAGTGAGCTTCGGTATTCGATTATAACTATTACTTCCACCGCCGCTCCCGCCGCCGCCACCATTACCAGCACCACCACCAACACCACCAAACACAACCCTGCGAGCTTTTTCGTCACTAAAAGACTGAGAATCTTCATGATACCATCTTCGTTTCTGAATCCTCAAAAAGACTACAATCGAAAGAACAACAACGGCGGCAATGCCAAGAGTTATGGCTATGGGGATGAGTTTGGAGGAAACCCGTTTGGGTTTGGGGGAGGTGGGAAGGCTAAGGGAGGAAATGTTAGCCGGAAAAGAGGCGGAGGAAGAGGGCGACGACGGAGGAGGTGGCGGAGCCGGGAAAGACTGGAAGAATGGCTGGTCATTTGGTGGAGTTGTGGTGGTGGGTGTAGATAAAAAAGGAACATTTAACGACGGTGATGATGGTGGAAGAGCAGTCGGAGGTTGAACCGGTGGTTGTGCCGGAGGTTGAACAGGAGGGATGATTGGAGCGTCCTGTGGAAAGAAAGGTTGGTGCAGCGTACGGCGGTCATGGGCGGCGACGGTGGTGGCGGTACAGAAGGTGGACGTTAACACAAGAAAGTAGAAAAAAAGGTGCATTTTTTTGGTGAGATTGAGAAGAGGAGCCATGAATGAAGATCGAAGATCAAAAAGAGATGGATTTACACGACTGTGTGCAGTGATTTTACGGTGATTGCAGGGATAGTGATGGGAGTGGTCTGTGCCCCGAGGGGTGTTTGTTTCCAGCTAAGATTCTTGAAAATGAAATTCCAGAGCAAATATTGATAAATCCAGATTCTTGTTGGTTTGTAGACTTGTATATTTTGCAGTCTCGGTAGTAACTTTGTTCTGGATTTATGAATTTAGGTGTGGAAGAATGAATAACAAAGATTTGGTAGTATGGCTCTTTCCCCAACGGAAACTCCACTAATCACCTTCTAATTATAATTTTTGGTCAAAATTACTTTAATTGCGATTCATCCAAAATATAAAGAAACTTTAAAAATATTTAAAATAATTACATAATTTAATTAAAATAACCGAGAATCTTCCTTAATAAGAATCATAGTAAGGACCGAGAGTTTTACCCGATAAGTAAGGATAAATACTCTAACTCAGTAAGCGTTTTATAGGGTTTAAGATGCTTAACAACAATCAGTTTTAATGGTCGAGAATGTTACACAATAAGGTAAGGAAGAGTAATGTCTTTTACCAGTAAGCGTTTACCTGATAAGCGTTTAGTAAACGGTCTCTAAATATTTAGATTACAAAAAACCCAAAGAGTTGTACCAAACCTCATAGAGAAAACAAAGGGGACTTTTGGAATTTAAGAGATGGGTGAAATCTGTTGTGGTCCCAGAGGTCCTATTTCAAAGACTCCTTATGAGATCGTCTCAAAATCCATTTAAAGACCCGAACTCTTGTTTCTGCAAATAAAGGCTCCTCAACAACTTCCCTCAAAAAATCGTGTTATTTTAGTGACCCCATACTAAACAAAAAGTAGCTCAAATAGATGTTTGTCAGATCCTTTGAAGCCGTGCAGGAAACGATATACCACATAAATGATTCGCTATACCGAGAACCATATTTCTCATGTTGCTTTAAACAGTCTACCGTTTTCTATGTCGCACGAGACAATAATCCAATGTGTTTCCTCGGTTTCATGAAGTACGATCAATGAGCAAAAGATAGTTGACAGCTTAACATACCCATAAAACCATTGATGTCGAAGGTGACGACAAGGGAAGGGCTTGGGCGAAGATGACAAGGTCTCTCGATTAGGGTTTTCAAAATACGGAGAATTGGTTGTTTTCTCGATCATGTTTCCATTTGTAGATTGATTTACGGAATTTATTGAAATCGGTTTTTTATATATTATAGAGATTTTGTTGCAAATGATGTAAATGGCGAACATAAATTGTTATAAACTGATAAAAATGAATCATATCAGCATGGTATACTTGGTTTGATTCTTGGTAGTAGATTCTTTCATAAATCAATTTCGTTTCCGTTATATGTTCTGTATTTTCTATAAATAGCTTCGAACATATTTTCTTCTTTCGGCATCGGCTTCATCTTTTAGTTTTTGTTTGACCTAAAAACGACCAATACAAATTTATCTGATTTTCATATCAGTCAACGGTTCACTTTAAACACGACGAACAACCCTGGGTTCTAAAGCAAAATCAAGTATTCAGTATAAAATATACATTTTTCTTCATACATCATTCATCGCTCACTTAATTCAATTATGAAAAAATATTTGAGTAAAAAGTTGATTACCGGCATCCATAATTGGCTTCATACGGAACCCGCCTTCAACGACACCACTATAACGAGACATTTTTTTGACTCATTCAACGGCTGAAGCTAGCAGGAGGGAGGGGGAGATCAAACGCAGGGTCTATCTTGTATTTAAACAAAGTCACATCACCTCTTTAGCAACTGAGCTATTACAGTGAGCTCGTCAACTTGCATGATTGCTTGTTGGATCTAAAAAACCCCACCATAAAAACGTTGAATCGTGTTAAAATAAATTACCAAACATCTGTGAAATCAAACGGAAAAGTATATCGTCTTTTTGTTGTTTTTAATCCAAATTGCAAAAAATCAAATATAACGCTTTTTCATAAAGAGGTTTTAAGTACTTTTATTCTATGTTTTGGGCATGTAACAACACGATGCTATAACGGATCTTTTCCTTTTACATGCTTTTTTAAATGGTTTTATTTGGGTTTTTTTTGCGGGATTTAATGGAAATAAAAAAATTGTTATATAATAAGAGTGAATTATGTTTCTTGTTCATGTGGTTTGCTAAAAATTAGGGAAAAATGCATAAAATAACAATCTACTTTCATAAATTTCTTTATTATAGCATTGTACTTCCAGTTTTTCTTATTACATCAATGTACTTTCAAACTATTTTTTATTAGGACATTGTACTTTGAAAAATTTACCCATTATAGCATTGGGTAACCTTTTGATTTAAATTTACTAATTATACTAGGTTTCCATACCACCTCATTGTCCACGTAGGCTGTCCACATGTACTATAGTAATGTAACTTTCTTACTACATCATTGTACTTTCAAAATTATTTTATCATAACATCTACTTGTTCTTATTAAACACTGTATTTTTAATTTTAATATTTAGATATTTTATATGTTATTTAATAAATGTATTAAATGAATTAAAAAATTTCTAAATTATTCATTAATATACCAATATCAATAAAACTAACAGAACACAACTTATCTCGCTAATATTTTTTTTTTTAAATATGTGTTTTTTGAAAAAAAGGAAAATAAGAATGGTTCATTTTTACCAAAAAAATATTATCTTTTAAATAATATATTGTATTTGTTCAAAAACTTTTTACTTGACGTATAAATATATTAAATTAATTTGATTTCTTTGAATTATTTATTAATATAACAATATTAAAAAATTATAGATAACAATTTATTTCGTTAATATTTTAAAGATAACTTTAAAAGATATGTATTTA